TAAACAAGGGCCGTTATCACTGTGAGAGTAATGCAGAGTTTAACATCAGGGTCACTGTTCAGTCAGCAACAGGTTGTGGTGATGAAACATCTGCATTTTACTGCCTGATTATACTCAAACTATCATCATCCCTATAGTGTTTTGGGGATATGGGCTGTTGGAATACTCTGCATTTTTCCCTCTAAAATTCAAACACTCTTGCAGTTATGCTGGTGTAGTTGAATTGAGTATCTCTAAGCTAGGGCTAGCTTTCTGCTTCATCCTCCTCATCTTTAACTTTACTCCAAACAAAACACTGAATTATAGTCTTTCATTATTTACTTCAGTTTCCTAGATAAAATGTGGTTTTTTTCTTTAGTAAATGCAACCATCTGCCTTTTAGCCAAATGAGATAGGATGGTTTTACAAGGTACCTTCCACACAAGAGGTTATCTCAAGTCTGGCTGGTGTTGCCTGTCTGACCTTTTTGGCACAGTAATTCACTAAGCCACTTGGGTTTTGGCATCAGTTAATTGTGCAAATGCAAATCAACATGCAAATCAAGCAAATACGTCATAACTAGAAGCACAAATTTTGACCTTGCTTAGTGGAAAAATGAGAGAAATGTATCTGAAAGTTCTGTAGAGGGGATTTGCATTAAAATAATTTGAGGAATAACCACAGCAAAAATCTTTTCCCCTCATTGATCATTTCTTCTATCCAATACACACAGCCTGTAATTTGAGAAAACTGTTTCTCTGCTGCACTGTTTTGTTAACAGGACTTATCTTAGCACAGCATAACTCAGTAATATCGCTAGGAATGTAAGCATCAAATGCACCGAGAGAGGAGCATATAGATTTTTGTTGAAGATTTATCTAAGCCTATGTGAACCTATGATAGATGGGGTAAAATTTCTCCCACCTGATTTTACAAGTTCACTGTCCATCAAACTGGGCTAACAAAACCTCCTTCATCATTGAGGGAGATAAATTGGTGCCTCTGGGGAAAGTCCATCTGGCATATTTTAGATCATTGCATTAGGACGCACCATAGCTTTCACTGGCTGTATTAACTTCACTCTCCATGAAGCAGGGGAGACTGTCGAGGAAGCTGCAGGTAACTGTCTTTCCACTTGATCTTCTACCTGGCCACATCATTCCACCTTGTGCTACCTCTTGGACAAATGTTGATGCTATAGCTTTCCATTTTGATCACCATCACCAGTGGTTTCTGCTTTTTCCCTAGGAGCCAAGCTGTGGTCCAACATCATGGAGATCCTGGAGGAGAAGGATGGGGTTGATACCGAACTACTGGTTTACGCAATGACCTTGGTTAACAAGGTTTGTTTACTTTGTGGGCATAACTGATAGAGATAATGTTAGTATTTTCAATTGTATAATGATCCTCCCTGTTGAGAATATATGACAAAGGAGGCTTGTCCTCGAGAAGTTGCAGGACAAGCTGTAATCAAGCAGCACACTCTTGTTACTTGTGTTGCAGTCACCCAGAGGCAGCAGATGGGAGCAGAATTGCTATTTTGCTAGACGCTGTGCAGGAACGTGTTATGACATGGCTCCTCTCCCTACTCTGACAACACAGTGCAAAACAAAACTCAGCAAACTAACTCAACACATTATCTAAGGGGAGAAAGAAAGCAAGTGCTGGTGAAAAGATCACATGGTCACAAAGGCTTGCATTGTGCACAATTTTCTAGTTCAAATTGTTTAAATCTTTTTTTACTGCAAACCAAATATGATGAATTTAACAGGTCTGAGTGCTAGTAAGAGTGTTTCTGCTTAAAAAAATGAGGTTACATTTTTTCTTCTTTTTTTTATATTTTCTGGTGTTCTGTATTACAACTAGTAGTTTTGCAGTAAAATCAAATGTTTTCCAAAGTACTCACTTGTGCTATGAAGAGGGAGAAAGTGAAAGGCCTGCAGAAGTTAGAAATTTATTAGTGTAAATTCCTTAAAAATTACCATCTATTCTCAAAACAAATCTTAGGGTGACTAAAATTAGAAATGGATTTTTTAAAGAGCACAGAAGATCAACATACTACTAGCAAGTCAAAATAACCGTGTGGTTTATGATTACACTTAATAGGCCAGAGTATTATGGAATATTATTGTTATTCATTATATTCATTTAGAGATCCTGAGTTTGTCGGTGGAGTTCATAAATGAAGCTGCCAGCTTATTGTGCTCACATCTACATGGTTAGGGCCATGGTTTGCTTTGGTGGTTTTTTTCATAAAACAATTTCTTAATGGCAGATATTGTCCAGCAAAGATGCCTGAGAGGGACTAACCTCTCCTGGTGACATGACTGATGTTACTGTACTTTTAGTTACAGACGCCCTTGCTCCTGCTTACATGGTAGTAAGGATCCTCTTGATTTTAAAAGACCACCTTATGTCACTGATGTACATTTTCTGAAAGGCATCACCAGCTTTATATGTTTCTGTCTGTAGCTGCTATTAAAGCCGAGGCAACTAGTTTTTAACGTCTCCGTTTTACACCTTGTTGTTTCGTGTACCGAATCCTCTTTCTGGGATAATTCTCTTCATCATTTGCACAGTTGTAATCTACCTGGTGTTTGACTTCTTCAGAAATTTTGTTCTGTGTTGACTCTTGTATTATCCTATAGTTGATTCCTTTAGTCTGAGTTTTTCACTACATTTAAAGCTATTTTTAGGAGGAGGTAATTCTTTAAAAACACACAAAAAGAAAAAGTATCTCGCAGTCAAAGGAGCAAGGCAGTTATGAAGATCAAGGAAGAGAGGAATCCCACAATGCCACACTTATAATTATGATCTGGCTTATGGACAGCTTTATGGTGTTTTTAATGGGATTTTTTTCATGATTATAGAGAAAACAGCAAGCAGCATGTCACAGTTGTAATTTTTTTCCCCCGCAGAGAATACGAAGAAGGCTCAGATGGTTTCAACTTCTCTAGGCGAGGAAATGTCAAAGTTTTCAGTGCAGGCAGAGTTCTCACGAGGGACTTGTCTTAAGGAAGCATACTTGTACTCCTTTTTCTTTCTCTATGTATACATTTACAGACTGTTCTCCTTCCTGCTCAAGAGCAGAAAACACATCTGCCCAGACATAAGAATTGCTCCACTCCTTTCATCCTCTCCCTCTTTTTTGTTGATGCTTAACCAATTTACTTACACTAACATTTCATTACCCCTTTCTTAATTTGAGAGGATTTAGGCATTAATGAATCTCTTAAATGAGACTGATCCCAATGCAGATACTTGCAGTTATATATAGTTCCAGTATAACCTTTGTTATCTTCCTCTGGTTAGTTCCTATGATCTGTTACATCTTATTCTAATCTCTACTTTCTTCATTTTTATTACTGAGGTGCGGATAGATTAAAGCCTTTGTGTTTGGTTTATATATATTAAAAAAAAAAAAAAACAAACCCACTCATCAAATTCAGAAAGAAAATTCTATGTTCCATTCAACTCACTTTATATTTACTTGCTGTAAAACCTCTCATTATTGAGATTACACTGGAAGCTTTGTAGCTGTAAGATCACTGTTGATTTCCTATTTACCTGTCTTTAATATTGCTTGTTCTCTCATATCATACAATACATTTTAAAAAAATAGGTAGATAAAATAATTATGAGGTATCTAAAAATTAATACATCTTGGTATAGCCAGATTAAGCACTGAATGTTTTTTAGCAGATCCCCTATAAGACTAGAATTTAAGCACCAGCTTCCAGGCCAGTGGTTACTAGTGGGAGCTTAGAGTACTACCCACCAGCAGTCCATCAGCTGTAGTTGAAAAAGAGCTGTTTCCGGCCAGTGTGGTGTTGAAACAGCAGCTGGCGCATTGTTTTTCGGTGACCTGCCTTGAGAACATCGCAGCTGCCACACTGGACCAGCAATCATCTTACGTACTGTGTCTGACGTTGGCCACACCAGATGTTCTAGAAGAAGTTGTGTTCCTGGGAAAACACATTCATAAGAGGTGCTTCTTCCCAAAGCAATTGAAAACTTGACTAATGCCCTTAAGCGTGTTTATTTACCATGTAGTGCTTTTCACTGTAGCATGTAAGATTTAGCTAATGTCTCTCTGTCTGGTGCATGGGCCCTGTAGTGAAGCCTGGTCTGTTGGATGTTTAGTAACCAGAGCAGTACTCTTCTGTTACTTGGACTTGCATGTAAAGCATCGCACACCAAATGGACTTTCTGTTGTCTGTATCCTCCCTGCACCACTGCTTTATACTGTGATTGTTTTGTAAATGGCAAAAGGCACCATACGTATTAGTTTTACTAGCTAGTATCATCCAGGGCTACACATTTTAAAAACTTCAAATAAAAAGAGCCTTTCAGTCTGAAGCCAGGCATAGCCGAGCACTAATTTAGGTCAGGTTTTGTTCAGAAACATAACTGAGGATATGTAATGATAAGAATATTGTGCTATTACCAGTTGACTATGTTGTGTAATAGGTTTTATCATCTAGGAAAACATTTGGCTGTTACACTCCCATAAAACTCTTTTTTTTTTTTTTAACCCCCCGATCCAACATCATTAGTTTTTTTGCCTTTCTTTCCATTGGGACTGTTACAGTTAGAGGTAAGTAAAACATACTGTTTAGGCTTTCGTAAAAATGTTGTTAAGAAGGTATATCAAGCTGAAAACTCTCAGGCTGAGATTTTGGTTTTAATTTAGTTCACCATTCCAAAAGCAGCTGCTTGAGAGGGAAGAACTCAAAGCTGCACAGGCTTTTCCACAAGGACTTGGGAAAGCAACTTGGAAAATCACACAACATGCAAATAAAAATCTTAATTCAGGGATGCTTCCTCAAACCAAAACTGGATAGAGGCATCATAGGAATGAATCTTGACCTTCATATTAATGAGTCCTTTGAACACCTCAGTTCTGAAGAGTTTCAGATTTGAAATCATTCTAGGTTTCATTAAGGCTAGCAGTAGTGTAACAAAATTCAGCAAGCAAACCACAGAGTCTGATTTAAACACGCTTCTCCAAGTGGCTAAATTTTAATTCTCTAGACATGTTTTAATTTTGTAAGGTTCAGTCTTCAGAGCAGGAGGAAATATTTGGGACCTGTATGTGTATTTTGATATGGAAGTATCATTTTGAACTTAACCAGGTACTCAGGAAGGAGCAAAGACCTTGGAAGGACCTGCCCAGTTTATGACCTCTGCTCTGCTGGTTGCGACTTTTGTTTCCTTTATAAAGCCGCCAGGAACATGCGGGCCCACTCTTGTTTTCTGATATCACAAGCCAGAATTAATCAGTCATTTACGCAAGCACTTCATGTCCCTTGTGTTAGTTACTGCAAAAATCTTTCTCCTGAGCTAGATTGAACTGACCTTGTCGTGACACCAGTGGTGCCCTTTTACGTCCCATTTTATAATTTTAGAAATTGAATTTGAATGCATTAGGTTCCAAAAATGGGTCTGTGTGTTTAATGACAAACCATGCAAAGGAAAAATATTTGATTTCTATACTTGGGAGTTCAGTTGTCCAGTTCTGGCCTCTAGCATGCAGTGAAAATTGGATTTCCACTGCTGCATGATGTAAAATTATATTAACCAATAAAAGGCTGCTGACAAAAGCAGGGTTGCCAGTAAATACTACCTTATGCTGCTGTTTTCCTTGTCTACAGCCTGCCTGACCTCAAGTTTTAAAAAAGCTATCCTTGAAGGCAGGTGATCTGCATGTCAACATTAAGACCATTTTAAGAAGTAAATGCTCAGAAGATCTGTGCAGAAAACCTGACTGTTTGTCTACCCTTTTGCACGTAAGACGTCACATCTTATTGTGCCTGAAGATGCTCAGGTCATTGTAGCTGCTGTCTACTTCTTTCATAAGTAAGAGAAAGCCTGATAGGCATCATTCTCTGTTACAGCATTTCCATATCTGTGTTAAAGCTATATTGAATTTACAGTGTGATAGCTTCATCTGCTGAATCCTCAGATTTCTACTCAATGCTAGGTGTCAGTTTAGGAAAGAACAAAAAGCACATGGTATCTCTTTTCAGCACTGTTCAGGAAAATTTAGTTCCACAATCTTTGGTGGGTTTTAAAGAGGCTTAAATACTGTCCTGGACAGAGACAAATTCTTAATTAGAGCCTGAACCTATAACCCTAATGCTTCGTTAGTGTTTGTGCTAAGCATTCCTGTTGTGGTGGACCTCACCAGACATCACATAATAGTCCTGTAATGACTGCAGATGAAGATGTTGCTGTGTGGTGTTTAGTTTAAAAAAAAAAAATTAAATTAAAGTAGCTTGATGATGCACATTTTCCAGTGCCTCATTTCACAAGAAAGAGTTGCTTTAACAGGGCAGGGTATGTCAGCTGTGTGTTACTATTCACGTAATTCAGACCAATTTTTCTGAATGTAAAGCTTCTTGGTATAGGGAGGCAGCCCAGAGCAGCTGCTCTCTTCTGCGCTCTGCTGCTCAGAGTCACTATGGAAAAGCCGGGCTCCAGAAAACCAGTATTCTCAGAGCACAGTTCATCCCATCCCGGGCATGAGATGAAACTCTTTCTGGAGAGGGCCTGTTTTTTGCATGTGCTGTCTCTATCTCTTGCTCTTTCTCTCATCTACTAGGAGTATAGCTAAGTTACTTAGCTAATTGAGTAGCAGAGGGGTAACTACTTGAAAATAAGCATCTCTCTGGTGAGCTAATCCAGAATAACTGTGTTGCTTCAAGTGTGCACTCTCCCGGATTTTGCAGAAGCAGCTCTGTATAGACTGATTCTTGTGATGAGGCGTATGTTGCTCTGCAAGTAGGTTGCACAGTATGTTCAGTAGTTTCTGCTCAACATGAGCAGAATTAGACTCATTTTGCTGCATCATGCATAAAGAGCAGTAAAAAATCAGCACAAGCTGAGTAGAAATCAATGGCAAACCAGAATAGTAGTGTTTTCTGTTGTCTTTGTAAATGTCTGCAGGACTCTGGCGGATGAAGTTCACTTGTACTCTGAACAAAGTTGTCTAATGCCCACATCCTCTTCCCGTGCATCACTGCAGTAAAGCTGTGAGTGGCTCGATTCAATCCCTCTTGCTACACGCACTGCAGTGTCATACTATGGTATACATGGTATACTGCAGAAGACCGCCTTCCTTTTCTCAATTTTCTGAATTCACCAAAAAAATGGGAAATGACTATGGTAAGAAAAGTGCTGTCTCTTGAACACAGAGCAGGTGCCATAGAAAGCTCTGAACTCAAACGGTTCATTTTCAATATCTGTTATTATTGGCATGCTTTATTTTCTGGTGTGCAAAAGCTCCTCTCCAGTGTCACTGGCAACAGCTTACCCCATAATCAGGAATTAACAACTCTTTGAACATTTTATAGGAGTTAAGGTGTCAGTGTACCTTTAATAAGACTTTTCAAGTTGAAAGGGAGGAAGGGAGGAAAGGAGTCAGTATCTCTGTGATATAAAACAATTTGTGCATTGGGAGGATGACCTCTGCTGCAGGTGTGGAGGACAGTAGGCACATGGTGCAGGATATTTCCTGCTGTCCTGACATCACACAGCTGTGCATTGGACTTTTTCTTCTTAAGGCCAAAATTACAGGAATCAGTAGGAAATCGGCTTCACTGTTTTTAGCTAAAGCATTTTTTCTCTCTCTTTGCTTTTATCCCTGTGTTTGATGCTTTAACATTCTCTGTTCTTTAAATCTGTACTTCAGTGAAACCAGGAAGAATCCAACTGTGTGTTCTAAAGACCCACATTTTCCATACTTTTTTGTATGAAATAACAACATTGATTTGTTTTGCCAATCATTCATTTTTCTACACAGTGCACAGAGTTGTTTGTTAAAAGCTGTGCCACTTGATTTTTATTTTCTAGCGGTGTCTCTAATCCGACATCATGGGTTTTACTTTATTGAAATCATACATAGCACCACTTGCCACCCGCTTTTGAAAACCTTTGTTTAATTCTTTTCAAAACAAACAGATTTAAATGTTTTTCCTTTGATTCTTAGACGCTGTCGGGGTTGCCAGATCAAGACTCTTTCTACGACGTGGTGGACTGTCTGGAAGAGCTAGGCATTGAAGCTATTTCGCAGAGACACTTGAACAAGAAAGGAACAGACTTGGACTTAGTTGAGCAATTTAACATTTATGAGGTAACATAACATGCCCTGGTTTATGCATCTTACAGCTTGTGCAAACTTCAAAGCCGAGAGGAGGGGGGAACGTAACCTAGGTGAAATTTGGTTATCTATTTTATATTCAAAGAAAAACATCTGGTTGCTAGAAGTATTATACACATTCGTATATGTGACCTGCCGCGGTACATAGCTGCATTTAATGCAAATGCATTTCGTGCTAAAGCTGGGGCATACTCCAAGGCAAACCAGCACATTTACTAGCCTCCTTAGAGGCAGTTCTGCCTGCAATTAAAACTTTCTCAGACTGCTAGTTACACATCCTGAAGTAAGTAGAAGTTCTTTCCACATGCAAAAGTATTCAGCTCATGAAAAAGGTTCGACTGAGCTCAGCTTCACAAATACCACTTGTTCTGCAGCTGAATACCCAGCAAGTCCTTGTTTACGAGTTTACACTGGACCAGATCCTATACAGTTTGCAGCAATGGAATAATGAGTGACTCCACATTCACCATCTTGGTATAAAATAACTACCTCTGAAGTATTTATATGTAACGGTAGGATAGCCAGTTTCTTAATAATTAGCCTCTTTTCAGACTTCGGGAAGTGTTGGAGCGGGCAGGTTTAGGCTGAAGTTAATGTAATGTAAATGTGAATTCGTGTTCTGGTGTGATGAAATGAAATTACTTTATCTCCATCTAAGTCCAGCAAAGGATTTGGTAGATTTGATTCTCCATTTTCTTCATCAACTCTACACCCATGTCACTTCACCAGCTTTAGCAGAGTTAAGTTTTATATGCAGCAGTTTGCAGGAAGAGTCAGGCCAAAATAGGAACGTGAGAACGAGAGGGCTCTGTGTCCTTCTTTCTTTTTCTATTGTCAGAGGCACCAGCTCATAAAATCCTTTTTAAAAGATGATCATTAATCTTAAAAGTGGGTCTTTTTGCACATGCTGTGCCTACTGAAAGACTTGATGGCAAAATTAGCAGTTGGCTTACTTGGATACCAGCTTTCTCTTGATGAACAGACTAAATTTAGACATGCCTATGCACACTCTCTTTTTTCTGCCAGTGTTGTTCTTTATCTGAAAAATCTCTCCTTCCGCACTGAAGTACATTTTACACCCTAAGCAGAGATATCACACTTCCCCTGCCATTATTTTGTTAAAGTCACTTCTGGTAAGTATTAGCAGAATAACAAGACTAATAGAAACAAGAAGATATGCATTCTTCTGATCACCCACATCGCCCTCTCCCGTACCTCTGCCTATTTGAATGGATCTTTCTCATATAAAGAGTACTTAAATGTTATGCTGCATTTCAGATGAGATCCACCAGTAATTTCGTTGTTTCGGCCAGCGATATCTCTCCTTACGTACCCTAAGGTAGCACTTGCTTTGTTTCTGTTAGAGGTATGTCACATTGGCATGTCAACGGCGTGCTGTATTTCAAGATGCTAGGTGTTGCACCTGTATTTTACTTCTCTGCTATTTCCAACTGATGAGCTCCCAACCTGTGTCAGAAGTTTCTGTCAAATGTCATTGTGGCCATCCTATTCTCAGCATCGTTCTTTTCTGATATTATACATATGTTCCTCTGTATCAACAGTGCTTCTGAACTGGCAGGAAATACTGAATTTTCCACTGAAAGGCATACGTGAAAGCAATTATGCTAACCTAAAAATTGGGAGGCTTAGAGGAGATGTGTGGTCTCTGTTTTTTTCTTTTAATCCATTGTAGTACCAGTTCACAGAAATAGTTTTGTTTGTTAGGTTTTTTTCCCTTTGTTTACTTTGCAGGGAGATCTGTGAAAATGGAGGGTTTTAAGAGGAATGCAGTTACATATACATCTGCTGATCTCTTCCTTGTCTGGGAAGAAATGATGGCACTATTCTAAAATACTTTCTAAAGTAGCATACAGTAACTTCCACTCAATCATTACAATTGTCATGGCTGAACATGAGAAAATGTTCAATCAGTCAATGCATGGAGCTTTTACTGTTGATTTCACTAGAGCCAAGTCTTCACTGAAGTATTTTGGAAGGAAATAAAGAGAGCTAGGTGTCCAACACGGCTCATTTTCCTTGGAGATTATGTCCTACATTAAAAAAAAAAAAAAAAAGCAAACTAGGAGATATATAAATGCGTTGTTACAGCTCCTGTAGTGTTCCATACAAGATGTCAGTGTATAATTCCATTATTAGAGCTGCTACACTGCACTAATGGATAGGCAACAACTTACAGGGATAGCTATAGAAATAGTGATCCTTATAAGAGTTAATCATGTTGAGATCAGTTAATTTTTAAAGCCTAGGTGTGAAAACCTATGGCACCTAAAGGAACTGTGTCAGAAGCCTTGCCTTTCTTCCTTTCTTTCTCAGATGACACTGAGACATGAGGATGGAGATGAGAGTGCTGACCCCCCTCCCAGTGGGCGCAAGGACCGGAGAAGGGCCAGTCTTGGTGCTAGTGAGCGGAGGGGGTTAGAGCGCCGACGGAGCCGCAGGCACTCGGTACAGAGCGTCAAAAGCACTTTATCAGCCCCCGCAAGTCCGTGCGGTCAGTCGAACCCTAGCTTCATGCTAGGCCACGGACAGCGCGTTGAAGATCTCAGTGAGAGGTAAGTGCATGAGCGGGGGAATACTCCTTTCTTTTCCCCCTGTTACTTTCCGTTATGTTCATTGCACTTTAGTCATCTGCCAGACTTCTGTTTTCTTTTCTCCCTCTTTCCATTGAATTAAAAAAAGAAAAAAAAGCCTATTTAAAGTTAAAACAAAAACAAACCAACAACAACCAAAAGAAATGGATTTGTAGGTGACTTCATTCATCTACCTAGGTAAGTTCTTTGGCACCACCTACCCTAAGTAAATGGACCCAAACCAGATGAGGTAGAGCATTGGATATGGGAACTAACCAAGGTTAACCTCATCCATTGACAGATTTTATATTCAATATAGCAACATAACAGAAGATTGTAACAAGGGCATAGTCACATTAATGCAGTCTTATTTGTTCTGTGTATGTTACAGTTCATTCTTCTCCCATGCCCCCCTTTGCAATCAGCATTCCAGCATAAATATTTTCATTTGAGACTACACTGTCATACTGAATGTATCTAATGTTTTATAATTAGTGAGACAGTAATGACTAGTTGAGCAGCAGTCTGTAACACTGGAGTCAGTCAAAGCTAGTGTCATTGCCAGTCCCCTAACAGTGGGCTTGGGCTATGCATGCTAAGGAGAAAAGAGAGCTGCAGATCCCCAGCGTGTCTGACTACCTCACAGGAGGGCTGGAATTAATTTTGCCGAAGTCAGATGTCTGATCAGCTTGCCTCCCTTTGATGTCAGTGGAGTGCAGCAAGCACTGCTAGGCCTTCAGTTATCTAACATATTCTACATGCCTGAAATTTTAACCAAGATGAATCAATGCTCTGAAACTGGCTGTTTCTCTCTGCGGACCATAAAGGGAATCTGGCTGACTAGCTCAGGTGAAGATACATACGCTGCAGATAGCTAAAGCTGGACACATCTGTCATCCCAATGCTCAAGGTGCAATTTGCAAAACAGAAGCATGATCCGTGAAGAGTGTTGATTATAACGTTTAGGAAGTTCCTTGGGGGTTTCTGTTGGTTAGCACTGGGTGTGAACTTAGAGCCTTAAAATCCTGTGTTACATGTAAAGCAGCCCTTCTTGCAAAGCAAACTAAGTTGACTAAAGCTTATTGGCTTCAGGCAATATGAAAATGTAAGACTCCAGATAATTTAAACAGTAGTTGTGTGTTGTATATCACATAATGGCTTTTTTTTTTTTTTCCCCTTTCTTCTTCTTGCATTTGGCAACACATTCATGCTTGTTTTCCATCACCTTCTATTGGCCGGGCCTTTAGTGAGCTGGAGGCTGAGAGCCCCGTGGTCTTACAGGCTGGTGACAAGGATGACAGTCCATTTGAGGCTGAGTTTAAAGCATCTTCAGTGTGAGTACAGCTGGGGGCTTCAGCCGCTCTGTATGGAAAGCCTCGTGCATAATCTTGGGCCCTGCTTCATGGCTTACCAATGTGATTGAGAATCTGTACCCATGGATGTGCAGCAGATATCATTGATTTGTTAAACTGATTAATTCAGATTAGAAACCAGGGGGTTCTTCAACTCTACAAAAATTGTTGATTCTCTTACTGTAGTTAAACAAATACAAGTCATGCAGGATACCAACTGCTACCAATACATTTTCTCACTATTAATGTTTGCTTACTAGCTTTATTTTGCAGTCTTCAGTAATTCCTAATGAATCTGTGTTTGAGCTGATTTTTAGTATTGGGGCAGCATAAACATGGCAGATTAGTTTCATAAGTTCTTTGAAATATTTTTTCACCAACAGCATAATTTCAATAATTATCTTCCTTTTCTGAAAAAAAAAATTACCCAGTTCTGCTCTGCATCCTCCTTGAAGCTGACATAATTTAAAGCATACTTTAAGTTTAAATGCAAGAAAGAAATCTTCATTTAAGCAGTAAAATTTAATTTCATGTTGCAGTTGTCCTTGGAATCTTCTCTAGGAAAATAATTAAATGCCCTTCAACTCCATTTGGAACTTCTAACTTGCTCACCTGCCTCTCTAAGGAAAGAAGCATTTAATTATGAATTTATGTAACACTGATCTTCACTTCATGTATTAGTTCAAGGAAAATCCCTTTTTCCCTCCCCATTCTCCAACCCTCTTAGCAGGTAGAGACAGGGAGTATTGTAGCTAGCAACTCAGGTTTGTTCCCATTGGACATTACAGACCACAGAATATGTGTCAGTACCCAAAGATGTAAACTGTATGCCCAGTGAAATCTTCAAAGCTGCCATAACAAGAAGCTAGTCAACTGTTGGCTTTTCTATAAATCCCACTGGGTTTCTGGTAAATAAGTGTCTCAGAAAAGCTGATTCTGTCCTTCACAGTTTTAGTCTCATCATCTACCCAAATCTGTAGTTGTGGTAGGAAGAGGAAAACCAGCCTTCCTGCTTTATCATATCCCAGTGAGTCTCTCAGCTTTCAGTGAAATAGTCCAGATGAATGCAACAGTATCTCTACACCTGATTGCTAAACTGGGACAGAAAGTAAAGTAAATGCTTCATGGTTTCTATTCATTAACATTTAAACAGAAAAACAGTGAAGTTGTATGGCTTGTACTTTTTACACATTTATAAAGTCTGAATTAACCTTAACTGGAAAGAGGTTTTTCTCTCTACATTGTTCCTACTGGAATCAAGTTTTCAAATTTGAGCACATGGTCTCTGATGCAACGTATTTATTGGTTTAAAGGATTTTAATAGAGCATCGTAAGTTTAGGCCTTACTGCAATTTGTAGTGAAATTTTAGAATCGTGTTAAAATGTGATGGAGGCATCACCTGTTTTTGTCAAAAGAAATGCTTGTTGTGTCCTTTCTGCTTCCATCATGAATGTTGTAGAGAGGAATCTGTACAAATGGATAAAAATTACTGATTACCTCTCTAAACTGAAAGTAACTTTTGTTCATGCAGGACAGATCTGTGTTCTGCTAATGTGACCTTCTTTTGCTTCATAATCCTAGTCCATCTCGAGGAAGGAAAAAAGTTCACAATAAGTTTTTGCAGTGCTGTATTTTCTGAAGAATAGTCTGCAAAATGGATTTCAGTCTCTTTATTCCTTCACTACATTTTCTTTACCAAGAGGAAACATGTAACAATATTAATGATAGTCTTACTGTGTTGCTCCTGCTGTTATCTAAACTTTGTGTGTGGTTGCAGATGTCTATGTCTGATTTTACAGTGGATTAGCACCATGAAGTTCAGTGGAATTGCTTCTGATGGACGTGATTAGAGATTAAAGTCACACTCTTACACTATACTAAATTTTGTTTTGGGCAATATTCTTGGTTATTTTTGGACTTCACTACCAAAATCAAAGAAGGTTCAAGTTCTTCCTCAGCATTCCCCTTCCCACAGTGTTCATGTTTCTTTTCTTTCTAACTCCGTCAGCTGGTTTGGCAGTTACTTTGCTTTTGTTTACCACATCAAACAGGTTGTCCACAGTCATCTGCTTTGTGTCAACCGATAAGTCTTCCAAAAAGAGAAAAATCCATGGTGCCGGTAAAACAAAAAAAGACAATATTGGCCAAATTCTGTTCTGTCTCAGAATGCTCTATATCCAGAAAAGCTGTCTGAAGTCAATGTATTTGCTCTGATTTACGCCAGGCTAATTGAGAGCAGACTTTGGGTTTTGAGCTGGGAAAAGTTGACCGTAAATGCTAAGGGCAACCAAAAGGAAAACTTGCAGGCCTTTTTCATCCATTTGGCAACCTTCTTCCAAACTAAATGTATTGCTTTTTTGCTTGTGGTTCAAAACAAATAAAGACCCAAATCTGCTTTGTGTTAAAATAGTTTTCGTGGAGAAATGTAATGTGCCTGCTACTAAATAAATAAATAAAGAAGTTGATAACGACTACTAAGAAATGCTGAAGGTTGGTTTAAGGACATGTAGCTGCTGCAGTGTACTTTAAAATGCCAATCCTGACCACCAGCAGGTTTGCTTCGCTCAAAACTTCTTTCTTTTACCATGATGGCATAGAGCACCAAGAAGCCTAGGGGAAACTTCTTCAGTCCCGTTAACATGATGTTTTAAATGCTTTGCTGAGGGCACCTCTTAAAGTTTTCTGTCCTGGTCCAAATTGAGTGCTCTCAATCTGTGGTCTAGCATGCTGTTTCTTAAGCAGTAGCCATTTAAACAAATTCTTCCATGGTGGTTTTTTTTTTTCTTTTTTTTTTTAAAGTAAAGCTAGCTTTTTCCAACCACACAATGGATAGAGATGGGGAAAATATAAAGAGTGGCATGGAACTTGCACATCCCCGTCTCTCTCCCTGGGTGCCCCATCAAAGCTGTGTCAGCCAAACTTAGCAAATATACTCAAGGAGGCTTCTGTGAGATTTACTCTGGCACTTCTTACCAGCATTTGGGTGAATGGCTCTGTCAAAGCTTTGTGGAATTAGTTACAATCAAAGATTGAGGTTTATAAAGTTGTGAATAAGTAGGATTAGGTATTTACCTCACTTTACTAGACTCTCTGATTTCTTCTTCTTTTTCAGAGCTTTGTTTTGTTTTATATCATTGAAAATCATGAAAGAATTACTAGGATCAGTCATAAAACACACAATAGTGTGTTCATCTCGCAATAACCAGGCCTTGTTTGGGACTTTTCTTGTCAGTATTCCCATGTTTCAAACATAACAAGCAGAAGAGCTGACAGCCATTTTAGGAACCCATCAGAGCAGAGCCTGCATCCTGAATCAGTGACAGAACATGGATTTAACAAGCTATCTTTTCTAGACCAGGGGGCTAAAAAGGCATGAGGAAGACCAACTGTTCAGGTTCACCTGAGGCTTCCAGATTTTTCAATCTGAAGTAACTTGGCCTTCAGGAGAACTGTATTGAGAAGGGAAAACCAGCAGAAGACCAAACAGGGAATTATGGGCTTTTGAGCTGTGCTTTTGTTAGGGTCCTGCCTGGAAGGCTGTTAGGACTCTTCCTCTGAGCAAAGCGTAGCACAAGGAATTCCAAAGTTTCCTGCAAATTTCTGGGCTAGATGGACACAGTACCATTGCCTGGTGCAAACTGGGCTCAAGGGCTTTCACAGCTTTCACAGTCCCAGAAAAAATTGGAAAATTGTTGTCTAAATAAAGGAAGGCTCTGCTGAGAAGTCATAAGGATCTGTTTGTTA